ATGGGGGGGAAAATACAGTACTGAAGCTACATTTTCTCCTTACCTAATCTTTTCCTGGCTCCCCTAACCCATGTCAGTGGGGTAAGCCTTGCCAAGAAGGTAAGAGAGGGCAGGACGTGCTGACTCAGAAAAACCAAAGCTGGAATCCAACATGGGACATGTTCACTGTCTATCTTGCATTCGGCAAGCCTTTTCTTTTAATAACTTGGAGAACATCTCTCTTCATCCAGACATTTCTGTCTCCCTTTTCTCTTTGACTCCCATGAGCCAGAGCAGAAAGATTTATGGAGGTTTTAAATGTAATCAGGAACAAATTAGCTGCTGTACTGGGATTGCAAGCTTGGACTCTTCTCCGAATGAATCAACTCAGCACAACTGGAGCAGACCAGGGCTAGCTAGCTTAAACTGAACATAGGATCTTATTTCAGGTGTGCTGTTGTTATACTGCTACCAGTTGCTTTGGAGAATAGATTGACCCCCCCTCAGATATTGGTACCCAGTTTCCATTGTTTAATTGCTTTTGCTGTTAAGAAACCTCTCCTTAGTCCTTCCACTTTTTTTTTTTTAAAAAAAACCACATTTTCAGTGTTGGAGTTCCCCAAGACAAGGAAGTACTAAGTGTGCTCCCTCTCTCTGTGTTTTGCATTAGCCACTTGGTTTGTGTGAGTGTGTAAGGATTACGAATACTTTCTCTGTAGACTTTATAAACCCACGCAATCTATAGTCCTCTGAGTTTCTTTTATTTCCCTCAACTGCTCAGTCCTATTAAGAAATTGGAACTGCATGCTGCGGGGATAGAAAGAAAGAGAGAGAGAGAGAGAGAGAGAGGTGGAGTCATTAAGTAATTGAATTGTAATGATCTAATTTATTCTGGCGCTCGCAATGTTATTTCACAGTATAACTTGAGAAGAGATGTCAGCAAAGGAAAGGAAGAGGGTGAGTTACTTTCTTGGAAGGGAGACAGCCCAGAGAAGCCGCTGTCACTCACCAGGAGACGTTGGAAGCTGTGGCTTCTCTGATTATATAGGTGAATCAGAAAAGAGAAGAGAAAAGGAAGCCCACGCCACACATTCCTTTTCATTGTTTTGATATAGTTTGTCTTCGTTATTTATTTCTCAACTCGCCTGTCGCCTCCTTGGAGGGGCGAGTCTAGGTGGCTTACACAATAAGATTACAACATCTGGGGGGGGAAAAAACCCCAGTTAAAAAACAAACAGAGCAAAGACAGTGAATGAGTACACAAGTGGGGGGGAGAATAATAAGCACTCCCCCCAGGGAATAGATCCCGCCATCCAGAACTTGATGAAACAATTAGGTTTTTATAGCTTTTGGGATGTCCAGCAAAGTCAGGGTGATATCGCCCTGAGGGAATGAAATGAATAAATATTACAGTTTTGAAGGAAGGTAGAAGCTGTGGGGCGGGGGTGGGGAACCCAGTCGAAATGAAAGCATCTGTCTTGATCGTGCCCAACAGAGATATTGAGGTTTTATTTCTAAGCAGTTGAAATTAAATAAATGATAGTTACGCAAACAAATTTGTGCAGGCCTCCTCAAACCAGCAAAACAAGGACAGTGATTTGATTCCCGGAGAACGCTTCCAAATTGTCTTGTAAATAATTCCTTCCTTCCTTTTCCTTTCTTCCCTTCTCTCATCTCTCTTTCCTTCCTTCTTTCCTTCCTTCTCCTTCTATCCTTCCCTCCCCCTTCTCCCTTCCTTCCTTCCTTCCTTCCTTCCTTCCTTCCTTCCTTCCTTCCTTCCTTCCTTCCTTCCTTCCTTCCTTCCTATATCTTTTAGCAAAGGACATTCTTACATTCTTAATAATAGAAATAAAAACATGAGCAGCTGGAGTAGCTGTGTTGCAAAAGCTTTGTTGACATTCAAGAGATGTTGGAATTCATATTTATTGGGTTCCAGGTTTGGGGAAAAAAGGCTAATCTGGTTAAGAAGTAAGGGATGGAACTTATGCAGGGCCATTGAAGTATCACAATTTTCCTCTGCTTTCTATCCTTCCAGTTTCATTCAGTGTCTCATTCAGGCTTGTTTTTTATCTCCTTCCCTTCCTCCTTTCCCACCCACACAGACTGCATGTGGGATAAATAGAAGCTTCCAATTACGAAGACTTTGTCCTCACTAAACTTGGTGTTTCGCAAGTATTGGGGTAGAACAAAATAAGGGATGACACTGGAGCCTGTAGTTTCTTGGCTGGCATCAAGCCACCAAAATCAGTCGCCCACCGCCAACTCTGAATCCGCTTTGTTGTTATTTTCTAACCCTGCGCTGTTTATTTTTGTTTACTTCTTTTGGTTTCATACAAGTTCGTGTGTTAAGATACAGATGCATGACTATAAGCCACCGGATAAGAAGTCTCTTGGGAATTTTAGGGTCACTTATAGAGAACACTGACAATGGGGATTTGCCCAAGAACAGCTTGTTCCCTTGTGAAGGTAGCAAATCTGTAGCACATGGAAAAGAAAAAAGAAAAAACCCGTTTCATTTACCGAGAAGGCTTGTATCCTGTTTTGCGTGGGGAACAACCGTTCCAAAATAGATGGGGCAAATAGTTTGGCTTCAAGACAATTTCTTGGGTTTCTGAGGATAGACATTGGATCCACCATGGTGCTGAGAGAGGAGCTCAGGGTTGCAATGATGGGTCTTCGGTGCTCTTGTGCCTTGTCGTTTTCTTGCAGACATTTAATGACCCAACGAGGTAACACCATCAGTGCTGAGGGAGCAAACTCCACTCCCTTCTAGCACTGATGATGTTACCTAGTTGGGTTATGAAACGTTTACAAGAAAATCACCAAGCTCAGAGAGCACCAAGGACCCCACAGTCCTCCTCCTCCTTTCTTCTCTTTCCTTCCTTCCTTCCTTCCTTCCTTCCTTCCTTCCTTCCTTCCTTCCTTCCTTCCTTCCTTCCTTCCTTCCTTCCTTCCTTCCTTCCTCCTCCTCCTCCCTCATTCCCCTCTAGCACTGATGATGTAACCTAGTTGGGTTAGGAAACATCTGCAAGAAAACAAGCAAGCTCAGAGAACACCAAGGACCCCTCTGTTATTGTCCCCCGCCCCTCCGTATAGACCCTATTCCCTTCTATCACTGATGATTACTTAGTTTGAATAACGAAACATCTGCAGGGAAACAACCAAGCTCAGAGACCACCAAGGACCCCCCGTAAATGGTGCCTTTTGTGCTAAACTGGAATATAAGTAATTAGCCATATTAGTAAGAGGAGAACGTCCATTGCTGGTAGGTCTTATCTGCAGAAGATTCCAGGTCATTTCAATGTTGAGACCCCCAAATGAGGTCACTGAAGGGTTTTAAATGCGGCCTACACAGATCCTAAGATACAGAGGGTTTCAAGTATGATCTTTGATCGCAAACACAAGGTCTATTTCCAAGTCAGAGTAGGTAACCTCGGGCAATTCCCCACACGGGTTGAAATTGGTGGAACATTCCTCTAGATGAATCCGGATGGATGCCTGGCCAAAACAGAGCAAGCCTCATAACACACGGCCACCGATCAGCGATGAAGTATGTCACAACAGGGCCAAGCGGTGAGTCCCATTTTATGTGACAATACTCCCAAAGCTGCTGACAGGCTTGTGAAAATGTGTGGTTCACAACTGGCCTCCGATACATATGTTAGCAATTCACTGTTCCTCTCTCTGTCTCTTTGCCCTCTGCCAACCCAGCGCTTTGACGAGAAGAAAGGCGGAGAGAAGCGTGATGAAAACCAGACTGGGATAGAAGTTGAGGGATTTCTGCCAGAGGAACTAATCGGTGCAAATGTTTCTAATTTGCATAATTTAGTTCCAGGGCAACAGCTTGGCATTCCCAAAGACACTGTTGGTTTGTCCAGTCGCACTGTGTTGCCACCTTTGAGCATTGGAGGTGTCAGCCATCCCAACTTGGTCAATAGAAAAGAACGGCTCCCAGACTCATCGCTAGTGAAAATACTCTTTACTACTAAAGCCAAGTATTTTTCTGTGTTGCATGAGAAATGTACATTCCTTCCGCTGTCCTTACCACTTTCTATAGAGGGACAATCGAGATCATCATATTGTCGTATTCTATTACTGTTTGGTTTGGAAGCAATCCTGCTTTGGACAGAGAGTGGCGAGGACAGCAGAAAAGATTATTGGAAGTTCACTTCCTTCTATCCAGGACATGTCATAATAAGTGAGGCTTGAACAAGGTCTGCAGTATTGTCTGGGACGCTACACATCCTTTTCACGACTTGTTTTCCTTGTTACCTTCTGGGAGGGGGCTTTGTGGTACCCAAAGCAGAACATCTAGGTACAGTTACAGTTTTATTTATTTATTTGATTGATTTGATTTGTCAATCGCTTACAAGATAATAGGTATAAGGATAAACATAGTTGTGAATACATGAAATGAATACATATAAGAAAAATAAAAGAAACAATAGGACAGGGACGGTAGGCACATTGGTGCACTTATGCACGCCCCCTACAGACCTCTTAGGAAAGGGGTGAGGTCAACAGTAGACAGTCTAAGGTTAAAGTTTTTGGGGTTTGGGGAAGAAACGCAAAATAAGGCAGAGTATTCCAGACATTGACCGCTCTGTTGCTGAAGTCGTATTTCCTGCAGTCAAGTTTGGTGCGGTTTACCTTGAGTTTGTACCTATTGTGTGCTTTTGTATTGTTATGGTTGAAGTTGAAGTATTCATTGACAGGTAAGTCATTGCAATGTATGATTTTATATACTATACTTAGATCAGACCGAAGACAGTATAGTTCTAGGTTTTCTAGGTCTAGAATTTCAAGTCTGGTGCCATAAGTATTCTGCAATGAGTAGAGGAGTATAGAAATCTTCTTGTGAAATATTTCTGGATTTTCTCAACTGTGTTAATATCAGATACATGATGTGGGTTCCAGACTGATGAGCTGTATTCGAGTATTGGTCTAGCAAATGTTTTGTACGCCCTAGTTAGTAGTGTGATACTACCAGAGTTGACTCGATGCGATTCTCTTCCCTGCAGATGAGCCGAGTCGTTGCTACTTTCACGATGGGGATGGTGTATGCGAAGAGTTTGAGCAGACAACCAGCATCACGGATTGTGGGATCTACACACCCAAAGGGTTCCTGGACCAGTGGGCATCCAATGTCTCAGTTTCACACCATAACGAGAAATGCCCAGCTACGGTGGTAGCGGGTCAGCCAGCAGCAAATCAAGTAAGGATGGTCGGGCACTCAGTGTATTTCTGGGATGAACAAGCCATGGTTTTGGATAGCCCTGTATATCACCTCATGGTCCTGGTGTCAGCTTTGGAAGCCATATTGAGACCAGATGCTCCCATGCTGCCAAATCTGAGCCTGGGAAAGTGGGAGGGGGGAATTTCTTGGAGTGTATGTAGTTAGACATAATAACATTCTTTTTCTAATTCAAGGTCATGTTATTTTGCACATAAGTGGAGGGAAGTCTCAAGTTGGGACAAACAGTGATTGGGGCATGTGATGTGATGATGGGTACAGGGGATGGATTTGTAGTTTTTACTTATTGCAAGGAAGCCAATAAGGACTTTCAGATTCGGGATTCCCCAGTTGTACCAGTTTACTATCCAAAATAAACTTTTGAGAAGATGTCTGTCTTCTCAAAGAGTTATTGGTTGGATTGGAGGTTTGCTGGAATGCTGACACCTGGGAACCTCCACATGCAATGACTGATGACATTTGAAGGATGCTACTTTCATACAGAAGACAAGATGAGTGCATTAATTAAGCTGGATTTGCATAGTTAGTTAGACTAAATTAAAATAGTACTGTGCTTTTCATGATTGGGTCTGCTTGTAGGATGAAGCATTCTTTATTTGTTTTTTTCACAGCTTCCTTCCTTCCTTCCTTCCTTCCTTCCTTCCTTCCTTCCTTCCTTCATGGTACCTGTCTACTACCCAACCAGGAATGAACCCTGGCTGATTCTAATACTGAACTCAATTATATTTAACTACCCCTCTTTTAAGATTTAGCTTGTTGTAGTTTTATGAGTAGAGTGTGCAGTGGCTCAGTGGTTAAGATGCTAAGTTTGTTGGACTGGAAAGGTGGCAGCCTAGGTTTGAGACCCAAGCACCATGTGACAGGGTGAGTTCAACTCCTGCCCACCTAGCAGTTTGGAGCATGCAAACGCGAGTAGATTAATAGGTAACAGCCTTCCATGTACCTTTGGCATATAGCCATGCTGGCCACATGACCACAGAAATTGTCTTCGGACAATGCTGGCTCCCTTGGCCAAGAAACATGGCCTAGAGTTGGACAGGGAAATCGTTACCTTTAGCTTTATGAGTAAGGGAAGTTCATTTGTCCTTCTAGATGTCCCTGCTTATTGTTACTTCTGAGTTGTATGCATATGAACCTAAGTCTAGTTTGGACCAAGGGTTTATAATGGTGGCCAACCAACCAATTGCACCTAGAATTGGGCAGTAAATGCCTTACAACGTTTTGGGTGAAGTCAACAGGAGCTGAGATTAGTATCCCACTAGTAGCTTGATACTCTGTGAATGTATCTAGTACTATCTCAGCTGGTGTCCATCACAGCATCTGAAGGTAGTGGATTCTTGATGCCTTCACTAATGCTTTTTCCACACCAGATTGAACCATGGCTCCAAGTTGTCATAAAATAAGAGAATAATTCTTTCCACCCCTCTCACCCCCCACCGTTTTCCAGACTCTTCATTGTTTTAGGAATCTCTTTCAGTAGCCTCTTGTCCATTCTAGTCTCCAAGCTGCAAGGCCTTTTTTGTTATGCGGTCCTAGTTGGCATCCTGGAAAAAAACAACTTGGTTGCTTTCTCATGTGATTGCGCGTGAGGGTATGTGCTTCTTGCAGAACACTAGCTGACCACAGACTAAAGCAGAAATCTGCAGAAGGGAGTCTATTGACACGTTTCTCCTATTTTCTTGAGCTCTCTGATTTCACAACTACTTCTCTGGCCTCATTGGGTAGCTTCTCCTTGGAAGAATTACCCAGTGTTGTTTCCCCACCCGCCAATTTCCCTTCATCCTTAAGTTGTGCTTGGCTGTCCCGTGCCTCAAAGAATGTGACCGAGGCAGGTTTTGCACGGAAAAACTCCAGAAAACATACAAGGTAGTTTTCTTGAAACGCTCAAACCTTGTTTTAGGTTTTCAAAAAGAAATCAAAAGTCATTTTCGGAGAAGAAAAGCAGCTAACACTGAGAGGGGCAGGACACTCTGCTCTCTTGATTCGGTGCTGTAGAGGAACACACACACACACACACATACATACGCACAACACACACAACTAAGGAAGCAGAAGGCAGTTGCTTCCAGTCCAGAGTTTGCAACCAAGTTTGCTTTGACCTTTGTTGCAATGAGACGGAGGTCGAAATTTAAACAAAACAAAAGCCATGAAGCCTTCCAACATTGCTTGGAGCTGTCTTGGCTCCAGAAGCCTTTTTGCAAAAATAAAAAAAATAAAATAAAATAAAAATAAAATAAAAACAAACTATGGTTGGAAAAGGGGGAGGCTGTGTAAAACATTCTGGGACCTCAAGCAAATTGGGAACTTTTTTAAGAACAGGAGGCCGAGGGAAGGAAAGAATGGTTGGCTTGTTTCCCACTGCCTGCCCTCTTACTGGTTAGGACCCCTTTAGCTATTTCTTTTTGTGCTTATGCGGTTTGGAGTATTTGGCTACAGATAGCTTTTTCTTTTCCTTTTTTAAATGAAAAGAAGAAAGGAAATGGGTCTTACGGTTTTCATTAAATGCCTTCTTTCCCCTTGCCCCCTCCAGCCCCCGGGGTGCTATCAAGGTAGGAGTTTGGGGAAATTGTCCAGGGTTTTCTTCATCAGGCTGAGCAGAGAAGGAGTCATGGTGTGCGAGGCAAGGACTGGCTTAACATATTTAAGTAAAATAACCCATATATACCATCGGAAGGGAGAAAGCTTTGCTTGTCTGGACTGAATAATAACCCATGGGCCAGCCGGTTCACACCGGTTTGTGAGAACCGGTTGTTAACTTTCTGAGCAGTTTGGTGAACTGGTTGTTGGAAGAAATCATTAGGGCAGAGAACCGGTTGTTCAAATACTTGAATCTCACCACTGCCATGGACCCATCCGTTCTCTTTCGCCTGAGATCTATCAACCAGAATAGAGCTGGAAGGGACCTTGGAGGTCTTCTAGTCCAGCCCCCTGCTCAAGCAGGAGACCCTATGCCATTTCAGACAGGTAGCTGTTCATTCTCTTCTTAAAAACCTCCAAGGATGAAGCATCCACAACTTCTCGGGGGAAGACATTCCACCGGTTAATTGTCCTCACTGAAGTTTCTCCTTAGTTCTAGGTTGCTTCTCTCTTTGATTATTTCCATCCATTACTTATTGTCCTCCTTTCAGGTGCTTTGGAGAATAGTGTGACTCCTTTCTTCTTTCTGGCAGGCTCTTAGATATGGGAAGAAACTGCTGTCATGTCACTCTTAGTCCTTCTTTTCATTAGACACACCCAATTCCTGCAACTACTCTTCATATGTTTTGGCCTCCAGCCCCCTAATCATCGTTGTTGGTCTTCTCTGGACTCTTTCTAGAGTCTCAACATCTTTTTTACATCGTGGAGACCAAAACTGGATGTGACATTCCACCAAATGGATAGGATGCCAGCTCTATCGCGAAAGAAAGCAAACAAAAAGTTTATTTTTGACTAAAATGGTCCTTCACCTTGGTATAATGCAGGCAGCGAGGGACAGGAACTATACAGTCACAGAAATGTTTAATTCTCAATTTAGCTGTTTCCAGCATGGTGATTGAATGAGGAAAAAGCATCCCAGCTTAAAACAACAACACTCGATTGATTCCAAAACTGGATTTTCCATCTCTTCATACCCTAATTCTCTCTTACTCAAAAATACGTTGCAGTAGAGAGATGGGTGTTTGGTGCCAGAGTAAGTCTGCAAGTGTTTAGTTGTGTGTGTGTTTTCCCCCTTTCTCTTTCTCTGTCTCACAAACACAGACAGTAAACTGTGAGTTAGTACAGATGGACAACCTGTTTCTACTTTTTAGAGATTGCGTTGGAATGCTTTTCATGCAGAAAATGCAAATTAATTTGCAATCAGTCCCACTTTGCATTCCGAAAACTGTTAAAAATCCACAATTCGGAATTCACAAACGCATAATGTGGGAATTATTTACCGTAATAAGTTCAACCAATGAACCTACTCATTTTTAGTTTGGGTGGCATCCTTAATTAAAAACCGTTGCGGTTGTCTCCGCGGGGAAGTCATCTGAGTTCGTTTATTTCTTTGACATGAGAAAGGCTTTGTTCTTTTCTACTCTTTATAACAATAATTAAAAAAAAAATCATAACATATCCCGACATTTTTTTAAGATGGGAAAATGGGATTAAAGCTGGCATTTGCCACTTGCTTGGTTGTTTACAACAAGCGCTAGTGATGTTCAACATCCATATTCCGACTGAGTCTAATGAATGATAGTGTTAAGGAGACCTGAAGATGTGCTTGTTGTCCAAGAGAGCAACTAAGTTGGGCATCAGCTTGTGTGAGCAAAGCTGTTGAAGGTTCCCTTATCTCCGTTTGGCCTGATAACTTTAGATACCAATAAAAGAATATTTGTAGCTCGGGGTTGAAATGAGGGGGTCCTTGGTGCTCTCTGAGCTTGGTTGATTTCTTGCAGACATTTCATTACCCAACTAGGGAACTTCATCAGTGCTAGATAATATTACTTAGTTTGGGTAATGAAACATCTGCAAGTAAACAACCAGGCTCAGAGAGCACCAAGGACCCCCTCAACTTTACGTGATGATGGCAATGTGGAGGAGGAGGAGGAGGAATGGAATTTCATTTTTGGAAAACATTCACACACTATTTTTTGCTCTTGCTCATATAGCTCTCCAACACAACCACTAAAATTAAGATTCACTGTCTATCCTCCCACATTATCCGTTTTGACAGATATCAGGGGAACTGTTCTCAACATTATCATCAATAGTTACTCCTGTTCAGCTAGGAACTACTAGCAACCTAGTAGTTAAGCGTTCAACTAAGAACAAGGACAGTCTATTTCTAGGCTAACCTTATTCGCAGAAACTCATTGGGCCAGTCCCTCCCTCTCAGTCCAATCAACCTCACGGGGCTGTTGTGCTGGGAGAAAAATAGGTCTCGAATTATGCTTGGCTATAGGGGCATACAAAATAAAAAACAAAATTCCAGATAGTCC